ATGGGTTACTGAGTAGGATCATAAGGGAGGTGAAAGGTGAAAGAAAATATGATGTGGATGAGTAGGATAGATTTTGGTTGACCATGATTGTAATGTCAAGGAAGGGTGGCGACATTTTGTTTGAGAGATGGAAGGTTGGAAAGTATTTCATCTCCCACAAGGTTACATAAATGCTTTAGAACATATACTCCATACTTTCTCTGACCTGACTCTTATAAAGACAGAGCATAAAAGTAGTTAGGTATTTTCTGGAGTGATACAATGAACTGACCATTCCTCCAGCATCTTTTGCGATGACAAAAATATATGTATTCCATTTGAGATTGGGAATGAGCTCTAGCTGCAGTAGGCATTTGAGGCAAGGATCCTCTTCAAGGGTATGCCCACCCATCAGAACTGGTGCAGGTTACATAGCTGGTCATAGGTCTGAGGGTGGATGACATTAAACAGTATTGTGATGACTTATTGTTAAAATGCTGATTTTTTGGAAAGTGAATCAGGCCAAGAACTTTTCAGCATTCACTCATCTTTCGAACCCCAATGTGGAGTGGCATTACAGAATCATGAACAAAGAACTGTATCAAATAAGAGAAACCCCCATCACTTGAGGACTACCAACAGCAGCAACAACTAAAATGGATAGCATATGTAACTTGAAGTGTAAATAATGGCACATTGACATTCCATACTATTTCAAATAAAAGGTTAGAAAGGAAACCCCCATTAATATTGGAAAGTGCAATAACAGCTACTGGACTTGAGAAGCCTATTTTCCTAAAAAGTTGTTTTAAGAGAGAGATTTTATAAATTTCAGCTGAAAGTAGTACTGCTTGTTCAATCAATGTATGCCAAATGTTTCCTTATAGGCAAACGGTTAATATTACCATTACCATTGTACATCATGCTTTGAGAAATAGAGTTATTTTTATCAAAAATCATTGAAGGCTGGAGGTTACAGTTAGTCAAGGAGTTGGCTTTTTGATATCATCGTTCTAAGAAGACAATCTGAACATGCAGAAATATTGGGAAGTGATTGAAATTCATACTATTGTTTGACCCAAGGTTGTGGGCAAAATTGCATAGACAAAAACTTTTGGAAATCATCTATGGTTGTGCTTGTGGGTAGATTGAAGCTCTTCATCTTTAGTTAGCAGTCTATCTTGTGATGATGAATTGATAAAAACACCCATCCCCTAGCAGCCTGGGTTAATCATGTGGGTCTGTACTAATGGATAGATTGAAGCTCTTTAGCCTTAGTTTGCAGTCTATCGAGTAATGATGACACCCATCCCCCAACAGCCAGCTTTGGCCTGAAAAATGCACAATGATTGAAATTCTTAAGTTACATGAGTTACACAATCTACCACAGCATCTTCCTTTTTCGAAGGATTGCGAAATATGGAATCTGCTAAAAAAACGGCATGATAATACATCATCTAGATCATTTATCAGCACTGCTGATACCCAATAAAACTTTTTGAAAAGTCGGATTAATTTTTCTCCATTCCATCCTGTTGTGAGTTTTTTTTTTTTTAATGCAGACTTTTTGTGATGATGTGATGCATAGTTTATCATTGTAAAGTTTATTTTTGTTAAACTTTTCCTTTTGATTCCCAAGAGGTAACCATAAAAGACCTTTCGTACTTTGCTTGCTTCCTGCCAAAATCTTTCTATGGATTCTTACATCATGTTGCAACTATGATTTCATCTAGAGAAACTGTTCCTTCTGAAGCCATAAAAACTGTCCATTCAAAAGTCATGTTCTACATGGCTTAATATTTTTTCACTTGCTCATATTATATCATTTGTGTTATTTTGTTTTGTTTTTTTGCATTTCTAATACTTTTTCTGCTTCACCAGCAATCAGCCACCTAACTCCCCTGGGATTGGTTTTTCTCTTGAGGGAGAGGCAGAAGCCAGATTAGGCTTGAATGGATATTTGTTGGGAGGGTTAAGGGTGCTGTAGATGTCTGGTCCATGTCTGGAAAATTTGGACTTTGCATTATGAATCAGTGCACTCAGAATTTTAGAGAAAGACGTTTTTCACATACCACCAATCCCTAGCACCTCATCGCAGACTGAGAAAATCCAGTGGACATTAGCAAGTGGCTGAAGAATAAACTGCATCTGACAAAGAAAGAAAACTTGATCCATTGTGTACTAATGGCATTTGACAAAAACCAGATGGGGAGAAAAGACTAAGGGTGGGGCCTGGACAACTGAAACATTCCAACCAATCTCTTCCCCCGACCACCATATACTATCCTGTAGATATTTAATCCAGGTCTGCTTAAAGGGGTCTAAATTCAGTAGTCTTATTTAAAATACCATTGTTTGTAGAGATTAAAGTTCAAAAAGAGTGCAACAATCTTAAAAATAAAGAATTTCATAAATGTTAATGATTTAATTCTTGCTTGAATTCTAAATTCCCAGCCATATTACAGCCTAGTCAATAAATATGTCTTTTGTGATGTAATGGATATAAGGTTAGATGGAGAAATTGGAGAGCTGAGTTTGAATTTCAGTCAGGTTCATTACATTCACTTATATACAAATTCCCTTGGAAAAGTTATGACTCCATTTATTCTTCACCCAACTATGAGCTGAATAGTAGGACAGACTGGAGTCTATAGGGCCTTGGTTGGTGACCAGTCTACTATAGAAAGAAATGGTAACATACTGTGAGAAAATCTGCCTAGTTAGTGATGAAACGAAAGAGACATGATTGCCCAAGCATGTATCACATATGGTATTTAACTGACTCACTATATATATATATATATAATGATCAAAAATATAATTTTATGGTATGCTATATTTATATATACCTACTTCATAACAATTATTATTATGGATATTTTTTGTTCTGTTCATATCCATAATAATTCCTTTTGTCTTTATTCATATATCGATCTATCTATCTATCTATCTCTCTCTCTCTCTCTCTCTCTCTATATATATATATATATATATATATATATTGAATAAAGACAAAAGGAATTATTATGGATATGAATAGAACCAAAAACATCTCTCTCTCTCTGTGTTTATATATATATATATATATATATATATATATATATAAACACAGAGAGAGAGATGTTTTTGGTTCTGTTCATATCCATGTGTTTATATATATATATATATATATATATATATATATATATATATATATATATATAAACACAGAGAGAGATGTTTTTGGTTCTGTTCATATCCATAATAATTCCTTTTGTCTTTATTCAATTATATATATATATATATATATATATATATATATATATATATATATATATATGACAAATTGGCAAAAGTTTTGTGACACATTACATCGGACTGGGTTTGTGTTGAAGCTTGAATAAGCATGGAATAATAATAATACAACACAAAATGTACGTAACAAAATGTATTGAAACAATGAAAAAAGGTACACAATATTTACAGGTAGTTTTGGTATATTCTTGGGAAGACTGTTCCTGCAGAATGGGTTGACTAAGTCGCAGTCGGGCAGAGTCTCTGGATTCGATCTCTTAATCTTCCGTCGTCTTCCGGTACCAACCCATATTTATATGGTCGGTACTCCACTTATGTAAATTAGGTGTATCATACACAACAGTTTGTTAATGGATGAAACCCATAATAAAAATATTTTCCAATTTGTCATATCTATATTATAATTATTTTTTTGAAACAGAAACTTAAATTATAAAATTTAAAATGAAAAATTCGGAACTCAGTTCTGATATAGTTTTTAAAAAGAAAATAAATAAATAACAGTGGATATCTTTGTTTCATGTCTGTATAACTAGTCTGAGGATGGCTCATGTGAGCTAAAAGCTTAGGACCAACTTAATAAAAAATATCGAAATGTTGGACGATTTTTGTCTTTATTTTCACCTGAAATTAAAGCAAACATTCAAACATTAGAACGGCTCATGATCAGACATAATAGACATTCATTGTCTGTTATATTTAATAATATATGTTTAAATATATATATATATATATATATATATATATATATATATATAAGATAAAAGATTGAGCCTAGCCTGACAATTTTTCATTTCAGAGGGTGAAACTTGAATTGCTTCATGTTTGTTTTTATTCCATATTTATCTTATTTTGTAATAGCTCTACTTTGTATTGAGCACTTTTAGGTGTAAGAGTGACAGATTTCAGTAGCTTGAATAATAAAGATAGATGGCAACAAATAGATGCCTAGGTCATGCAGTACACCAGTGTGAATATGGCACAAGTCCATCAGGAAGGGGTCTTTCACAATTTCTTATTGTCTCCAGAACATTCACTGACTCTTTCTCTTAAACAATGAGAAGAATGACTACTACCATAGTTGATTTGCTTTCACCAACCATTATAACCCGACACCCCTACTGCCAAAATGCCACATTCTGTCTGTCTTGACATATTGGCAAATAATCATGAAAAAATAGGTGTAACAAGATATATTGGTATGAATATATTTGGAGTGATATATAATATCAACTTAATAGAGATAGATAGTAACAGACTAAGATAAAGAGATATTAACAGAATAATATAGATAAACCGATATTAACAGACTAAGGTATATGGATAAATTGATAGATAGATATTAATAGACTAAGATTGATAGATAGAGAGATAGAAGTGATTTAGCTATGGAGATATGAACAGTCTGAAGTAGTGTGTGAGAGAAAGAGAGAGTGAGAGAGAGATGAACAGAAATAAGGATTACTGAAAATAGATAAGGAGACATAGACACCTATATAAATATGAACAGACTCAGATAGATAGTGTTGTAGCATACCTACAGACGATAATGGGTATGTCCCATTCATATAAATACAGTAGTAAATACTGTGTAGTGTATGTTGGTCTGCAGCTGACTACTTCTTCTATGCACTGCTGGTTAATCTTATATGTGTTGTACTTGTCCTAAGTATTATCATTCATTACCAACCATCGTTTGATTATTCTATTCAGTAACCTTCCCTCGGTTACGATAGATAGATAGATAGATAGGTAGATAGATAGATAGATAGATAGATATGAATAGACATAGACAAACTTAGATTACAACAGAATTGATAGATATGAAGAAATTTAGATAGATAAATATGAACAGGTCTGTCAGAGTGAAAAAGAGTGAGATTTGTTTATTTCTTCTTTTATGGCTTATCAGTCATTTCTGGATTATTTATAGCTTGGATTGGAAGAATAATTCTTTCTTTTGCTACTGAATATTGCATTAAAAGTTTGTAGGAGATAACAATGTTTTTTTTTTAGATACAAGTCTTCTTACTTAACTCATAAGTTGTCTGGAGGAATGTGATTCATACATTTCCCAAGGATATTTTCACATACACAAATGTAACAAAGCAGGCTGGCATTTGAACTCTGTTCTATGAATTCTCATTCAAGCCACTATACATTACACTACATGCACATTTGAGAGAGATGAACTGAGATAAATAGATATGGATAGTGTTGTAGCATACCTACGGACGATAATGGGTATGTCCCCATTCACATAAATACAGTAGTAAATACTGTATGTTGGTCATTGTTGGTCTGCAGTTGGAGATTCATTGTGAAATTCACTTGACTCACTTCTAGCAGTTGACTACTACTTCTATGTGCCACTGGCAAATCTTATATATGTTGTTCTTATCCTAAGTATTACCATTCATTTTTAAACTTTGTTTGATTATTCTATTCAGTAACCTTCCTTAGGTTACAACAGATATATATATATATATATATATATATATATATATATATATATATAGATAGATAGATACCATGTGCCATTTGAAGCTAATTTGAAGTGGGTTGCATCATATATGAGATATAAAATTAGCATATCTACTGCTGGCTCTTGTTATGCCATTGACCAAACTATATATTCATTTACTGTAGTCAAATTAGTTCCATAAGTAGGTATTCAAAGTTTGCATGATATACAACTATATATGGTAGAGAGATAGATATGGTCTGATACATGGATATGAACATATATATATATATATATATACTTTCATTTATAAATAGTTAGATTTGGACTGATGTGTACATATGAAAATTACATTGTTCAGGTTGTTGTCATCATCTTTGCTGCCATATTCATGATGTTTCAGTCACTGTATGCTCTGGCTTTTGTCAGGTGATTGGAATTTCAAACTGAACTCTTTATTTTGTCTACCAAGGTAGATTGTTCTAGTCCCATGTGCCATGCCACGCCTCTTCCAGATATCTCAGTATCACTTGACTCTCCAAGTTTTTCCGTTCATCTCAGCCATAGCCAGGAATTGAAATCAGAATGCTTTGGGTCAAGTCATTGGATTCAACCACTGCTCCTTGGCAAAAAAGATGAGAACAACAGACCAAACAATGTAAATAGTGTAAATAATCGCAATACCTCACCTCAGAAATATAAACATATCCCAAATATATATAATTAGTGTATTACATTTCTTATGTAAATTGGAATGTTCAATTTTAAATGCTTTTAAAAGAGCTTTTTAATATATATAAAAATAACATTCTTTGATTATTTACCCATTAACAGACTGTTTCATGCATTTTAATGGGTGTTTGTCATCTGTAGGGACTCTTGGGCTTTACCAATCTTTTTTCATGCTTTTTAAAAAGGAATGCATCAACATGCCGAGAGTTTGAAATAATTCCATTCTTTTTTGCTTTTTATTAATTCATTCACATTCTTGAATTCTGTGAATTTTCAGACACACACACGCGCACATAGATAGATAGATAGATAGATATGAATCCATATACACATAATTAGATAGATAGGTAGATAGATATGATTTCATATAGATATAACTAGATAGATAGATATGAATCTATATAGACATAGATAAATAGATATGAATCCATATAGACATAGCTACATAGATAGGTAGATAGATATGATTTCATATATACATAATAAGATAGATAGATAGATAGATAGATAGATAGATATGAGTCCATATTGACTTTGCTAGATAGATAGGTAGATAGATATGATTTTAGATAGATAGATAGATAGATAGATAGATAGATAGATAGATAGATATATAGATAGATATGAATCCATATAGACATACCTGTCTAGCTAGATAAATAGATATGAATCCATATCGACATAGCTAGATAGATACATACATATATACATACATATATACATAGATCAGAACAGACTGAGAGATAGATATCAACAGACTCTGTTAGAGAGATAGATGTGAAAAGAGAAGGGAATAGATTTGGATTGATTGATAATATGACTAGATGTAGTCATATATCTGGAATATGATAGATAGATTGGAACAGACTGTGACATAGATAAATAGATAGATATGTATGTATGTATGTATGTATGTAAAGAGAAGTGAACAGATTTCAATTCATGTATAATATGAGGAGATATTGATTCATATATCCACAATATGATAGATAGGTAGATATGAGTACATATAGATATCGATAGATAGAAAGATAGGTAGATTGATGGATAGAAACAGAAAAAGGTATATATATATATATATATATATATATATATATCATGAAACGGACAAAGTCCGACAATTATTTTAAGATATTTTTTTATGTTTATACATTCTTTTTATAGATACAAATATTTAAGTAAATGCTCTGTTTATAACAAACAGTATTAACAACATTTACTGGCCTGAATGTCTGAGAAATTTTCATAGAAAATATTCATCCTCCAACAGGAATTGAACATGTATCCTATGCAGAACCATCATATAGCCTTATGTGCTTTTACCGATTGAGCCACAGAGGATCGTTTTGATTAGCAAGGTCAACTTTACTGTTTCCAAACTACAATTCTCCATGACCTTCTCACATACATTCATATCTGCTTGATGATTATCCAAATATAAACAAATGATGTCACACATTAAGAAATGGACAAAGCCCAACAATTATTTTAAGACATTTTTTTATGTTTATAGGTTCTTTTTATAGATACAAATATTTAAGTAAATGCTCTGCTTATATTTGTATCTATAAAAAGAACGTATAAACATATATATATATTGAGTGATTGTAATTAATAGATTTGGATTGACATGAAGTTTCATATTTAGTGCATAAAGATAGATATGTGCAGACTTAGATGGATAAATCTATATATATATATATATATATATATAGATATATATATGTATATTCACATGGAATATATATATATATATATATGTATGTATATTCATATGGAATATATATATATATATATATATATAGATATATGTATGTATATTCATATTGAATATATATATATATATATTTCATATGGAATATATATATATATATATATATATATATGTATGTATATTCATATGGAATATATATATATATATATGTATGTATATTCATATGGAATATATATATATATATATATATATATATATATAGATGTATGTATGTATATTCATATGGAATATATATATATATATATATATATAGATAGATAGATAGATGTATGTATGTATATTCATATGGAATATATATATAGATAGATAGAGAGATATATGTATGTATGTATATTCATATGGAATATATATATATATAGATAGATAGACAGATGTATGTATGTATGTATATTCATATGGAATATATGTATATATATATATATAGATAGATAGATATATGTATGTATGTATATTCATATGGAATATATAGATAGATAGATAGAGAGATATATGTATGTATGTATATTCATATGGAATAGATAGATAGATAGATAGATAGATAGATAGATAGATAGATAGATGTATGTATGTATGTATGTATGTATATTCATATGGAATATATATTCCATTTTCTTTCATTTATTTTCTCTGTATTCCCTTGCTTTTTTTCATGTTATCATCAAGAAGACATCTCCACCCTTTCCATTAACAAAGCAGCATTAGGAACGCTTTCCAACTGACTGGACAGAAAGTGCTGGTCTGCTGGTCAGTGAGCTGGCTGATTGGTCAGTTGGAGCTGATGTCACCATCACAATGGGAAGCTTACTTGGTTGTTTTGTGCTCTGCAAATGCAAATGCTTTGCTTTCAAATGGAAGTCAGACCAAGAAGTTCTTTTTTCTGTGAAAGCCAGTCAATGAAATTCAGAGTGATGCTGTTACCTAATGTATAAAAAGCTTCAACCTCTTTCTTTTATTCTTTTTTCTTTTTTTTGCCTTGTTCCGTTCATTGACCTGCCATGGTGGATGAAAATGGAGCAAAAGCATCAGATGGAAAGGTGATAAAAAAAAAATGCAGAATATAGAATAAGAGGCTAAAGTATGAAAAAGTTGGGGAGAAGAAAGGAAAGCAGTTAAGCAAGAGATGAACGGAATATTACAATAGGGTAGTGTTAGGAAAAACCAAAGCTAAAACAGAAGAAAAAGAAAGAAAATGAATGAATGAGAAGTAAAATAAATGAAAAAAGAATGTTAAAAAATAAATTAAACTGAATTGTTGAATTAAATTTAGCTTATAGTCTCCAGAAAAATATTAAATTTTGTTTAATTGCACTGTTAATTATTACCTGAAATGAATAAAAAAGAATCGATGACAAAATTGAAAAAAATTCTATGTAACAAGCTTCATCCTCTAAAGGATGTGCAAGTTATGTAATGAATAGTGGCTTGGAATAAGAAATCAGAAAGCTGAATTCACATTCTACACAGGTTTGTTAGATTCACTTATACAAAAATATCCTTAGGATGTGTACATCTCTCTCCTCAACTATGGATTAAATATAACTTATATCTGGAAAAATCATTGTTATTTTAAAAAATATTATTAATACAATATTTCACTCACCAAAAAAATAAAAATAATTATTCTTCCAATCTAAAATATGTTTCAGCTTTAAATAACCTAGAAAAGGTTGATAAGCCTTAAAAAACAAATCAATTGATCAATCCATCATCCTCTAAAAAGACTTCAGACTAAAATAATGTTCTTTATTATGGAATTATATTGATATATGTAAATTATTTTAAGATAGAGTTTATCTGTAAAGGAACAAAATGAATAAAAAGACATGAGGTAAAAATATTCTTAGCCAATGTGTCTCATTCTCTGAGGGACTTTATCAAAGCAAATCATTTGCCTGGATAAAGTCCCTCAGAGGATGAAAGATGTTGGCTAAGAATAGTTTTTACACTTTTCTTTTTATTCATATATATATATATAGAGAGAGAGAGTGTATTTAGGCAGCATTCCTTCATTTATACATGTTTCATTAAAGACAACAAGGTACTATGATTAAACATTTAGTTAATTTTTCTTGTGTTTGAACAAGTGCTTTCTTTTTGGACACAGAATGTGTAGAAACTCTCCAAATGTTCTATAATTCCAAGTGCTTTCGGCTATACTTTTAGTCATTATCAAGGATAATTTTATTTTTGCTTTTTAATTGGGTGTATGGGTTGTGTGTATGTTTTTAGAGTTATTGGTATGTTTTATTTGCTGATCACAGCACATTGTGGCTGTGTTCATAGTTAATATTATTAAATGTTGACTTTTTCTTTTTTATTATTAAGGCTTCCATTATTTTTAATCTTTTTTTTACATGTGGATGAGGTTATTATGTTTGTACTTTCTACTAGTATATGTTGAATGGAGTCTGGTAAGTTTGTGTGTGTGTTTAAATGGATTCTAATAGAATTGTGGTCAGATAGGTGTATAGCTTATATTTTTCATTTTCTATGTGCCATGTTCCTTTAAGACTTGGATAATCATAGCTTTCCACAACTTCATATCTTTTGTAGCTCTGAGTAAGTTGTGTCTTTTTAATTTCCTCCTAGTCCTTGTGTTCTGTCAGCCATTTATACAAGCTCATAACAAAGACACTGCCACCTGGTGTCACCAGAGATAACTTGTGTTATCATCAAACACTAATGATATTAAAAGTTACTGGCACTAAAGACAATAAATATACAAATACTCTCATTATATATATAGATATATATATATATATATATATGAATTGGGACCAAATACTGAATAAATATGGAAAGTACAAATAGGAAATGTTTATTAATCTGACATGTTTCCCCTTTATTAAAGATTCATCAGAGAATGCAATATTGAGAAAAAGAAGAAATATCTGGTATTTTTTGTGTTGTTTTTATTTTTGTGTTTTTTTACCCAATGAAAATCAAACAACACAAAAATAAAAATACCAGAATTTCTTTCTTCTTTTCCTCCATATCTCATTCTCTGATGAAGGTTTAATAAAAGGGAGACATGTTAGATTGATAAACGTTTCCTATTTGTTTTTGATCAATTTCTTCTTTTTTTTTTTTATATACATATATTATTCAGTTTTTCCAGCATTCTTATATTTTCCATTTAGTGGAAGTGAGGGAGTACAAAATATGTCCATATTGTCAATTGTCCCAAGCACTTTCAGGCACTTCTTTAGCCATTTTCAAGGGAGGGGGGTTGTTTTTGGTGTTGTTAGTTTATTTTCACATTTTGACTGTGACATGTATTATTTGTGAATTATAGTACGAGCATTAATTTTGAGTCATCATGTGTTGGGCATGGCTGGGATTTGAGTGGGTGACTTTCCATTTTTAAAAGACTTTTAGCACTCCGTTAACATTGTTAAAAAAAGTAAGGTTGATGTTAGGGGATTGCTGTTTGATGTACAGGGCCTCCCTTATGACAAGGTGTTATTGGAAATTTGATTTATCTCTCTTAAGGGTTCTAGTAAATTATGTGTTCATAGATGATTTTTTCTTAACACATAATCTACAATAATGTCGTGAGAACTACTATAACTAACTTTGCAAAAAAATTAAATAATTCAAGATAGTGTATGTGCCTTTACATCTGTACCAAATTCTAAATAATTTCATTGAGAAATTTGCCTTCTATGACAATAATTTCATTACTTTTTTGACTTACTCTCATATATATATATATATATATATATATATATATATATATAAGATTGGGACTTTTCCTCAAGTATTCCACTGACTTTACCATTACTCTATGCCCCTTGTTTTAGTTTTAAGCTTTTTTAGCTTTACCAAATGAACTACTTCTGGCAGCAAGAAAAAAAAATTAATAATTATTCAGATTTGAAGATTTTCTTACCTAAGACCTTATTTTATCAAGAAAGGCAAGTGAGGAGTAGATAGTTCCAGCTGTTACATAATGCAAAGACCAGGATCAGAATGGTCAGTGATTGGCTGCAATGCCTGGTGGATGTGGGATTCTGACAGTGATAGATTGCCTTTGTCTGGGTTTTCAATATAAGTCCAAAATGGCTCAAATTCAACATAGGGCCACAAGAATTCTGAAGCGTCAATACACCTCCCATACACAGGTTAGTGACTGGCTAAGATTACCCATAGAGGAACACTGAGCCAATGTGCGACATGCCTTCCTGTGACATCATTCCTCCTGCTGCCTCTTAGAATCCATATTACCAGTGTGTTCTCTTAATAAAATGAATAAAAAAAAGAAATCGTCCTTTTCATTAATTCCATTTTATGTAGTAGTGTGTGGACCCAGAGATAAGACAGAACGAAATATAGCCCAGATATGGCAGCAATACTTCATTTTTGGTTTGATCTGGCTCTTGTAAAGATAGAGTATAGTAGAAGGAGTTTTTTGGGGTTTTTTTTTTACTGTGATGTTCACTCTATATAAGGCCCAAGGGCCACTTGAGGTAGAGGGTTACAAAGTAAGAGGTGCACCTTATGGGGGAAGATAATGGTTAACCCTAAACTTGAATAGGTCAAGATTATATTAAATAATTCAAAATCAAGAGCATATGTGCCTTTACATCTGTACCAAATTTTGAATAATTTCATTGAAAAATGTGCCTCCTATGGTAATAATTGCATTACTTTTTGATCTACCATTGTATATATTAGATGTATTTATGCAATAAGAATTCATTCAAACAATTGTTTGTCAAATTCAACCACTAAGGTCTGTCTATTTGATTTTTATTGTATTTTTCCCAATTTGGAATCAGTTTTTGCAAAGCAGGATCAAAATTGTGTCTAAATTGTCCAAAGTTTATAATTTTTTTCCCTGTTTTGTTCAACTACTTTCAACTATCTCCATCATTATCAATACCTGGATGTTTTCAGTATGCTAAACAAGATCATTTGACTAAATCTTAGCATTTTTTAGAGTACTGAAATTGGAACCAGTTAAAGTTACATCATATCTAGAGATTCCCAGTTTGCACTTGCTTGTTTTGGTAGAGTTCAAAAGTGTCTGTTCAGACTTGTGGGTCAGGAATTATTTTCCACCCTACAACCTCTTTCCCACAGATGCAACGTTGCAAGCCCCTCGTTGCTCTATTTCTGTTTTCATGGCAAGTTACATTCCTTAGACCCACTAGCCCTGATCTTTAAATCTGGGAACCACCATGTCACGTACACAAGAGTGAACCCTTTCCTTTCCCTTTGTATTCTATTAGTAAGAATATAAAAGCAATCATTTTCACAAATATTCATATTTAAAGAATGTCCCTAAAAAATGTATACAGACTTTATTAATAACAATTATGATTATTACCTGAAAGTTAATTGAACACTTTCAAAATAAAGAATAAATTTTATCATTGATTTTATAATTAAAACCATTCAATGCTTATTGTTAAATACCGTTTTATTTTAAGCACTCAAAAAAAACATGATTGAACTCAAAGATGATTGAGCATACCAGTGTTATAAGCTGATCAACTCCTCATAGATGCTTCACCCCTTTTAGGCTTGTATCAGATTATGAAGATTACTCTCACAGCTACTGTCATTTTGTCTCCTGCCACTTCTGTTTGGCTGATGGCTAGGTTGCATAAACAGTTGGCAGTTGTGTATCATCAGTTGTGTTCAATTTATTTAGTCAAAGTTGTGATGTGTGACATATTGTGGAGGACAGGTTTTGAAGTTCAAGTAACTATAAGCCTTTCATTACATATCTTCTTCTTCTGCTGTGTACTTTCATGATGTGGGTGATCATGACTCTCCACAACTTCCTATCCTTTGTAGCTTTTTGAAGTGTTTGCCTTTTTGCCATCCCTCTCATTTATTGTTTCAGTGTTCATTCACACACACTTATCAGGAATGTGGCTTGCTACCTCCCTGCTCCAGTTCCTTTTGTCTTCAGCATATCCTGTCAAATTCTCCAAACCCACTTTTCTTGAAATTTTAGCTATATCTTTCTCATTTTAAGTATAGGCATCCTTTTTTCTTTCCATGTTACTGAAGACTTCTTCGTTGCTGATGTACTCCGTCTATTGTATTCTCAGTATCCTCCTGAATAGCCACATTTTTATCACCTCGATTTCTCTTCATCTATAAGGAAATTGTGCAGCTTTCACTGCCATATAGGAGGATTGATATAGCAATTCCACACTCTTTACTTCTTTCTGTCTCATTTTTTATGTTTGTCAAATTCTCTTTTTTTTTCCTTTTCTTTCTTTCATTTCTTTATATTTGGCTTTCTTTTTCTCTTTCTTCTTTTTCTCATCTTATTGTCTTTTTTCTCCTTTTATTAATTTCTTTTGATTTGGCATTGCTTCTTTCTGTCACATGTTTCTCAGAAGAAAGTCTAAAAGAGGAAGAGAGAAAAAGAGAAGCTGAGAAACATGTGACAGAAGATATGCCAAATTGAAAGAAATTTGTGGAAGGCGAAAAAAGACAATGAGCTAAGAAAAATAAATAAATAAATTGAGGATTTTATGTGCAGAAGTAAGAAAAAGTAAATAAAGTGTTATACTGGAACATACCTATTCTATTGTTAATAGACTCTCCCACCTATAATAAGTAGGAGTAGTAGCAGTCACCAGTGAGCTCAGAAAGTTGGTGAGTCAGTCGATGCCAGACAAATGTTAGTCGGATATTAAAGTATCAGCCACCACAACTAGATTCCTGCATCATTAACTATTATATCAAGTTCCTAACATTTTGTACGTCGAACATATTTAAGGACCGACTTAATAAAATACAAGCCTCCACTGTGAAAGTACTCTATAACATAAAGAATTTTGTGAGTGGAGGTAATAAAAAAGAAAAAGTGGAGGTAAGAAAATGAAATTTTGTGAGCGGAGGTAAGAAAAAAGAAAATGAAAATTTTGTGAGTGGAGGTAATAAAAAAGAAAGTGAGAATTTTGTGAGTGGAGGTAAGAAAATGAGAATTTCATGAGTGGAGGTAAGAAAAAAGAAAATGAGAATTTTGTGAGTGGAGGTAAGAAAAAAGAAAATGAGAATTTTGTGAGTGGAGGTAAGAAAAAAGAAAATGAGAATTTTGTGAGTGGAGGTAAGAAAGAAACAAAGCCAAATATAAAGAAATGAAAGAAAGAAGGAAAAGGAGAAATTTAGAAACATAAAGAAGCAAAGTCAAATAGAAAGAAATGAAAGAATGAAGTTAAAAAGTGAATGAGCTGAGAAATAGAAAAAAGAAAGAATGATATAATGCGAAATAGAGAAATGGAAGGAAGGAGGAAAAATAAAATAAAATGATAAACAATGAAAATGAGAGAAACAAAAACGAAAAGAAGAAAAAAAGAGAATGAGTGAAGAAACAAAAGAAACAAATAGATCAAATGGAAAGAAATGCAAAGAAGAATAAAAAAGAAAATAAACTGAGAAAGAAAGAAAACAAAGTGAAAAAGAATGAAAGAGAGAATAACCTGAGAAAGAAACAAAGAAAGAAAGCTAAATGAAAAGAAATAAAGAAAAAGAGAATGAACTAAGAAAAAAGAAAGTCAAACAAAAAGTAGCAAAGGGAACAAAAGAAGAGAAAAATGATGAAGTGAAAGAGAAATAAAAATGAAAGAATGAAGGAAATGAAAGAAAAAATGCAGCAGCTGCCATATTAAATCAGTCACTTTAGTTTTGATATCTTTTTGAAGATGTTCCAATTCATGCAAGAGGAAGGCAAGCTGTTGGAGAAATACAGCCTCCAGGGTAAAATTCTGCTATTGGCTCAGTCAATAACATTTTACAAACATTGTGTTTGAAAGTTGAATTTGGTGAAAATATAAAACATTCACATTCTTCATTTCTGAAGTTACCTTACTTTTGTATAAAGGATGGCAGAAGTTACAGAAAAATTATTTATTCAAATCCGAGAAAAACACATCCATAAAGTTAAATCAATCAATTATTTAAAAATATTTTTTTTAAATTCTCTTGTCATGTGCAAAATTTTGTTTTCTTTATAGTGATGACAGCTTCTCAATAGACAAGATAATGTTTCATAAAACTTTTAAAAAAAAAATCAATAACAGATCCGGAAGATTGAATCTGATCGTTAGATGAAGGCTTAACATTGCAGGGGAATTATTTTCAATTTCTGTAAACTATTCAAACTATTATCCATGTCTTTGTTATTTTATTTTGGCTGATATTTTCTTTGGGCTTCTTCAGAAATATTTCTATGAAACACAAAGAAACTACTGCTAACAATCAGAAAGAAAAAGCAGAATTTTTCAATAAGAGAAAACAGCTTAGAAAATTTAACACTCAAAGAACATACTAAAAGCAAGTTTCAGCAAATGGCTGAAGGAACATGTAGGAATTTTTATTATAAAAAGATATTTTTTCATAACAGAAAAAAGGTGCAACCTTCCTTTCATCGTGACAAACATTTATTTTACAGTAAACCTTCCCTTAGGTTCATTAAGTATGGATACCAAATTTGATGGTTCCACATGAAATAATTTGGTTGTATATAGCAAATAGACGAACAAACTGTTCTCAATTATACAGTGTTTGTACCTAAAGTCTGGACACATTGGCAAAAATGCACATTTTCAAGAAATTAAATTTTCAACAGCATTTTATTGAATTGGAATATATTAAAAAATAAAATCTTCAATATGATTTTCATCATTTGTGATTGATGCACTTTGCAAGATTCACGTGAACTCAATGCAATAACACCACATTGCCATCAATTTTAGAACAACTGTAATTTTCATTGAGTGCACCTTCTCCTTTATCATACCCTAGAAAAAGAAGTCAATTCTTTCTTCTTTGACAAAACCATATTTAATCTGTGGAGGTAAAAAAATATAGTTAATAAGATTTTCTATATGTCCAGACTTGAGGGACACCCTGTAGATTAAACTAAAGAGATAATACACTAACACAGACAATTCATTCTCAGTTTTTTTCTTTTCTGTTAATCATTTTACCTCAAGCAAGACAATAAAGCCACTAAGATGCAAAGGGTTACTGAGTGCGAAAGAATATGAGAAAAAGAAAACATTATTTAGGAAAAAGAACAACAAAAGAGGAATTAAGAAAACAGATTATGATTGACATTGCATTTACATTTTTGAAGATCAAAGTTGTCTGGAAAGCAAGAAGTCAGAAGTGAGTTCCACAAACAAGAAGTATGTGAGAAGAAATAGTTAGCATAGAATTTAGGATTACATCAATCCATTTTAATTATAAAATAATGAGACGCTTCTACCAATCTAGTACTGTGCTTAAATTCACAAAGTGTAGGTACCATAGAGGAAAGCTCATTAGAAGAATTGCCATGAAAATATTTATAAAAAATGTACAGGGAAGCTACGTTATGGTGGTGGGAAAGTGACTGAAACCCAAGGTGCCAGGTCAGGACCAATAACATTGCAGATTCTTCTTTGTACTTTATCAAGAATCTCTAAATATATTTCTGAGCACCAGACCAAATGTGGCAGCAATATTCAAGACATGGATGAATGGTAGACTTATAAATGTGTATGATAGATTCTGGAGAGATAAATTGTCTAGCACAACACAGTGAACCAACTTTCCTAGCTGTAGAATTACTTGAAGAATTGATTCATGTCATTAGAAAAAGTTAGTCCAAGACTTATGCAATGAGTCATTCCCCTGGAGGTTTGCATCATCCATACTGATAAAAGTCAAAGGTTCCATGACATGATTAAAAGAGAATTGTTTCATATTGCAGGCATTAAAATTAACAAGCTATTTCTTGCCTCAGTTAACAACAGACTACATGTCATTTCTGAGATCAGCTGCCAGTTTGACACTATCAACTGATCACATTTACTCTTAATATAAGAGTTAATATCAGTGTAGATACTAAGTTGAGAATAACTTTATAAATGGTGATACTTCGCAAGAGGATATTATCAAAGAAAGAGAAAAATTAAATTTCTTCAGTTTTCCTATCATATACAAAATGTATACAGAGATAAATACTTTTTAATTTTTTTTGGGGGGGGGGGGTTGAAGGCATTGTAAAATAAATTCCCAAACAATTTAATTTGGAAATTAATTTTAGTCAGTATGAGACTTCTCAAGAGGTATTATTAAATAAATTACTCATACGCTCTGTGCCAAGATTTACATATAAGATAATATGAGCTGAAACCCAGAGGTCCCAAAACTACATGGGCCTCCAAGGGTACTCTAGTTTTGGACCCCTGATAAAACTAAAAAATGAATAAAGATAAAAGAAGAGATTTGTTTATTTTCAGATTTAATTGGGCCCTTTTTAAACAATTTAGAGTATTTGAGCCCCCTCTAGTGAAAGTTGGTCATTTAAACCCAATGAGGTCCTTGGAGGATGTAAAGTTTGGATGAAAAATATTATGAAGTTGCTAATGAAATAAGTTAGAAGAATTATGAAATCATTAAAAATTTTAGTTGAAGTTTTTTATGTTTTACACCAAAAAAGCATTATCTAAAAATATATCTTTTTTTTTTATAGATGGTGGTGGAGCGTCCAACATAAGGAAAGGGCATAAATTTTATTAATCCGAGGGGCCTCTTAAGACTTAAATCCAGCCCTGCATACAATATTTCATATCTTGCTTTCATATATTAATCAATCTGTCAGATTATCGGCCCTGGTGTTAATTTTATCAATCCCATTATCTTATCAGAAAACCTTAACATCTGAATTCATGTTAGCATCAGATAGATTCATTAGTGCTGTCAAAAAGATGAAAATAATTCTTGTCTGCTCCACATCAGTTCTTGAAGATTTCTGCTTTCTCGACTTCACAGCAGTGTTTACAGCGTATCATTTTCGTATCTTGTTTTTCTCTTTGTAAAATGTATATTAATTTTGCAAGGACAAGAAGGCAATAATATTATCTTAAATGCCTCATTAGTGAGACTCATTATCATGATGAGAAGATAACAACATACAACAAAGATGTTTTACTGAAGTTTAAATATTTGGATAGTATTTCAACAGAAGACAAAACATGGGACACCAAAATTAGAATACATATTGAAATTGCAAAAGATGCCTTCCAAAAGCTAAGCAATGTATTAAGAAATGGGAAAACTTCACTAGAAACAAAGAGTGTTGAACTTCTATCTAATCTCAATCTTCCTATATGGCAGCGAATGCTGGAAAAGTTTGTCACAGATGAAGAAGAGATATGAAGAAAGAGAAATATGGTTCTACTGGAGGATGCTGAGAATATCATGGATTTACTAACAACAAGGAAATTTTAAGGAAAATGGAAACAAAAAGAAAACTATAGTTAGAATCAGAAAGAGAGAGTTGAAATTTATAGGGGAGCTAATGAGAAAAAAGGGCTTAGAGAACTTTACACTCACAGGAGAGATTGAGATCTACAAAGAATAGGAAATTGTGATGCATCCTGATCACTCACATCCTGAAAAGACATGCCATATAGAACCTTTGTGGTTGGCAAGTGAAAAGGTTTTCATTTTTTTTTTTTTTTTTTTGTACTGTGTAATTAAGAAATGAAAATATAATATACATTATCCTAAATGCTAATTTTTGAAGCAGTCCTGTTCTTCCCAGTAAAAAATTTGGTGCAACAGAATCTACCTACCCTCAAATTTTCCATGTGGTTTTGTGACAGACTATGCTTGGTTGAAAAAATAGAAAACAATTCACAGTTTTTATATTGTCGGGTTCACCTCCATATTTTGTGGAAGGTTTTCACTCACAGCTGACTCTGATTAAAAAAAAAACAAAGAAAAAACATTCATTTCAAATATTGATTCTTTTACTTCTGGTGATTTTTGTTTATTTTTTATTATCCATTTATTTTTTTGCTGTTGTTGCTTAGAACCAATAAAGAGATTAAGGAATAGAAAAGCCAACACTGTTGTCTGTAGCAGCCAATTAACAGATTATTTCATTACAGAATGTTTCCCTTAGTTTTTCCTGAACCCAGTTCCCCATCTCATTACA